TTGCTGAGCAGAAACTTTTACAGCCGTCTTCTCCCAAACTGCCAGCATTTCTTCTGTCTTGTTATAATTACAGCTCATATCTGAAACTCTAGTGTCTTAATGGAAATCTCAATGACGGCTCTGTTGCCGCCGATGGCAGCTTCTTTCATTGCCCCCTTTGTCTAATATTTCCAGCTTTGAAAGTAGAGAATGACCTCCAGGAAATGAGAGAAGCTATCTCCGAGAAGCTGGCCTCGCCATTTCCAGCGCAAGTTTTCAGATCAAGCGAGCTTAGAGCCCGGTGTCAGGCCAAGTTAATAACTTTTTTTCTGCCGAATGGCATATATGCGAGCGAGCTGAGTTTTACCTTTAGAAATGAGAATAATTTGAGATAATCCGTTGATGCGTTCTCCCCGCGATTCTTCTAATGTGATGGCAGAATCTGTGCCAAGGCTTAAACGGATTATCCCCCATGTTTCTCGTTGCTCCACTTTGTCCACTATAAACAATATTTTGTACCAGCAAAGTTATTGTCATTTCTTGCTCTGCTCAAGGACAAAGAAGCCTCTGTTTAAAGGTTCATTTAGAGGCATGCTTCTTTAGACTAAAATGCAGTCAATGAGTGAGAACAAATGCTGCGTAGGCTCCTAAGAGACCTAGTCATGACTGAGCTCATGCAAGAGTTTTGTCTTCAGTTACCATGATGGTGCAGGCTTACTGAGCAAAGGTTTATACTTGCCCACATTTTAAACAGGGAGCTGCTGTCCTGTTAATTGCCTGACCTCACGCTGATGAGCAAAGATACCAGCTACTGACTGTGCTTAAAAGGCCATCCACCCAAAACCAGTATTGCTTTTAGTGGATGCTGGAGAGTTAAACCACCTATCAGTTCTTCTATCTCTCAAGCACTCTATCAATGAGATCTCTGTCCTGAGTTTTGCTGGAGCCTGCACAGCTGATGTAGCCATTATCAGACTTTTCCAACATTTTTGTTGGATTTTTAATTTATCTTATATTATGAAGAGTGTAACTTGAATAAGTTGGGGCACACAAAGTTGGGCAGGAACACCCAAAAACACCTAGGTGGACAGACACAGAGCCAAGAACTATGGCAGGAAGGTCATGCTGTTGTGGTATTTCCAGACATGAAAGGAACCATGGGCTACTCAGGCCACCAGGCTCAACTTGTGAAGATTTATCACTTTTGGGAGGACCAGGACTTTTTTTAATGGGAATATGGGGGAACGCAGTTCAAGCACCACCAGCACATAATGTATGTAATTGCAAGGGGTGCTGGAGGGTCCATTGATGCTGGCTGCTGGGAGATATATTGTCATTGGGGGGATCTATTGTTGAGAGGGCGTTCTATTGTTGCTGGCAGGGGTCTGTTGTTCCTGGGGTTGATTTGTTGCTGCAGGGGGGCTATTTTGTTGTAGGGGGTCTATTCTTTCTGGGGGATCTGCTGTTGCTGTGGAGGTCTATTGTTGCTGGGGAGGTCTGTTGTTGGGGGATCCATTTGACTGCTTTTCTTGTTATTAACAAATTCCATACAAATTACCTAGCACCACTAAATGACACTTGGTTCTGTTTTCTCTCAAGTGGTACTGTGAGGTGGGTAGGGGGTGGAACCAAGAGATGGTGCTCGGAGGTGGGTAGGGGGTGGAGAAAAGGGGTGACCTAGAAGGAGGGAGTACCTGCACCTATTCTCTGAGAAATAAAGCCCTAAGGAGGACTGACCCTTATGAAATATCTGATAACGAGCTGTTTTAATTGATATTCTATCCTCCCACCAGCCAAAACTGTACAATACCAAAACGAAAATGCCAAGAAAGCCTAATCTATACATAGGTGAAAAAAAGATAACAAAATGTTACATTTTATTCCAGGTGAGACCACTGGTGATTTCCCCTGTGGGGAGGAGCTCCCGGCCCGGACGTGCGATAACGAGACTTCAGAGTGTCGATTATATTGGAAAGGGCCAAATTTTGGCATTACCAACTTTGACAACATCTTGTTTGCTGTCCTGACCGTGTTTCAGTGCATTACCATGGAAGGCTGGACTGACATTCTGTATAATGTAAGTAGCAGAAAAATCTATAATTTGTCTTTCAAATTGAAGAATATCTGAACACTAACTAGATGACACCATGCATTATATGCAATTGCCATGTTTGTTTTCCATATAGTTTTTTCTTCTGTTTTTCCATCTCAACGCTAGTTATTTCCTGCAGCCTCTTTCAGTCACCTGTTTCTTGAGAGTTACAACAGTGGACCACTGCAGGAACACAACTAGAAGACAGTTGTCACCCCATAATAAAAGGTGCCTCAAAAAGAACCTTTGTGGAAGGGTCACCAATTATTAATTTAAAATAATCTGAAGATTAGAAGATTGAAAATGGCATTTAAAATTACATTAATATGATAAATCGTGAGATTTTTGTGATTGTGTTTAGATCCACCTCTAACTCTTTTTATTTGAGAATGCTTCATAAATAATATATAGCAATAAATGCAGATGCAGAATGTGAGGTCTTACATACCATCTTCTCTCTGTTATACAGTATTTCTCAATTCTGCAATATAGCAGTATTTGCCAGCATTTGGCAGCCCATTCATAAAATGCAGGTCCCATTCATAAAATGCAGGCTACAGAGGGTTTTTTTTTTACTAAAACTGGAGCATGTAAAATCTGGTGCAACTGTGCATAGGAAACTAATCAGCATCCAGGTTTTATTACCAAAACTTAATTGAACAAGCTGAAGTTAGCTGTGAAGCCGGAGCTTCAATCTGCACATGTGTGAATCAGCTCTACTTACATGATCTGTTAAAGTGACATTCCACTTCAATCATGGAATCCCCTCTGCTGCTTTAAGTCTGTGAACTACCAGATTTGTTCAGACATGCTGGGATAGATTTACTAAAACTGGAGCACTCAGAACCTGGCACAGCTGTGCAGGTAGCCAATGAACTTCTAATTGATACAGTAGTAATTCAGCGGTAGTTCAGCGGTTCATGTCAGGTTTATATCAGGTTCAGATCAGGATTGGCTCAGAATTTTATCCTGTTCACACAGGGTTTAGAAACGGTTCCCATAGAAGTCAATAGCTTGTAATCCACATCTGGACCGGACCGCACTGCTCTGAAATCGTACATGACTCTTTTTCAAACCGCCCTGAATCCGCACCGGACATTAGTGAACAGGCACCATAGGAAGCAATGTTTTTTCACACATCATGCAGATTGGATGCGGTTCAAACCGCATATATGTGAACCAGCACTTAGGCTTTCCTCCCCACTTTCTTTCAAACTGCCATTCATTTTTATTGTAGTCTACTGGTTTCAGAATCCCTAAACCAATTGGAGCGCAATGCACTTTTAAAGCGTATGACTGCTTTTATAAATGTAAAAAAAGCATTTTCTTTTATATCTCAGGGCAGTGGTATAGCCATTAAAATGTAACTTTTAATGAAAATATCAGTTTATCGATTGTATATGAAATAGTCTTGGCGCTTTACTTGGTTATAAACTTAGAAAAACTCAAGCCCTTTCTAAGAAAAAAAAGATAGTATGGCGCCTCCATGCCAGTTAATGTGCAGAAATTTGAATTTGAAATGTTGCATGGTACAACATTGGTCTTCCCCCCATAATGCACTGGGGATGTTCTTGGTTTGTTGCTGTATAAACTATGCTGACCCAGTAGAGGGGTGGGCACAGAGCTATGATTAAACTAACAAATGGAGTTCTTTTATGTACCCTTCAAACCACCAATCGATTGTAGAGGAATTAAAGACAATTTTTTCTTAAAGTCACTGGCTGGAGCAAATATCCGCTCACATCACCAAGTTTGAAAATGACTTAGAAACTTACCCCAACACCATTGGGGTTGAGGTTCCTGGAGAGATGATTATTTGTATCATATACTGAAACAGAAGGCAATAAAACTGATAATTGTCGATTTATTGATCGCTGTTGTTTTAAAACAACATACTCCTTTGCTATTTCCATCTTTATAATTTATATTAGCTCAGTTGTGTTTATAGTGTTACTAAACCCACAACAGTAAAATCAGTCTGTATACTCAGTAAAGCATGCTTGTTATACTCCCTGTGGAACGTAAGGGGTTAATCCTCCGCATTGTGTAAAAATTCTGTTTGATCCTGTCTTCTCTGATCCTCCCCTTCTCCTGTCCCCAATCCATCTGTTGATAGAACAGAGCCTTGGGGGCACCCTGCACATGCTCCGTTTGGTGTGTATTGCATGAGTTATTTTTTCTTTGGGAGGGTGCATGTTATCAGCACAGGACCAATCAGCACTGTCCAGACAGAGGGTCAGGGGTTATGCAGCCTCATAGGACAGTCAGAGGAGAATGAAAACTCCTCCTACAAGCTTTAGCCAGTGCTCAGACGTACACTGATAGAAGTCACAAGACTGCTAGATACTGCTGAGGAGAAAAAGTATTTAGCATCCTATATTTACTAAAATATTTGCATTTCCATGTTGTGTGTACTGTGGGAGACCAGATATAGTGAATGCGGGGTCCTGGGTTCAGTAACGCTTGAGCCCGGGTTCACATATATGCGGTGTGGTACATTTGCATGTGATTCGCACAGGAACCGCACTGCATTCCTGTGCAAATCACATGCGATTTTTGTGCAGTGTGATTGAAGCCATACATTTTGTATAGCTCTAATTGCACTGCACCCACACCACAAAAGGTGCAGGACCCTTTTTTTGGTCCGCACTAGAATCGGATCACATGGATATTCACACTTATGTGATCCAATTCTGCACATCGCTTTGCTGACCGATTTTGGGGTGTTAACACACACCGGCAGCGGTTCACATGAACGGGGTGCGATTCCGATGCGGTGCGGAGTTCGTACAGAAAACATTGCGAATTCCAGACCGTATCAGTGTGAATCCAGGCTGAATGTGTACAGCTATGCAGTTTTGTAGTGTCTGGTATCAGCAGCACAGACATTGAAGAATTATTTTTGTTTTCATTTCAGGTTGAAGTTTTGCTGTAAGGGCAGTTCTGCTGGACAGGGGGTGCCAGGACCAGGGGCGGACTGGGGCCCCCGGGCAATAGGGGATCAAGGGGCCCCTGTGTCCTTGCCCACACTCAAAGCACACCCAAAAAAGCCTATAAAAAGTACCAGGGGCATTTCATGGGGCCCCCTACTGACCCTGGGCCCTCAGGCAGTGCCCGAGTGCTCGAATGGTCAGTCCGCCCCTGGTCAGGACTTGCCTAGTCATAGAAGTCAGGCCCTAGTAAAAAAAAGTGAATCTAAATCAGAGGGGCACACAAGACACTTTGTTTCTGGCTTATAAATGTAACAACAGGTATCTTGTACTGTCTGCTATGGCAGAACTTTTTCAAATGAAGTTCAGGTTCACTTGCATTTCAGTTTTGTTAAGAGCTTGTGTATGCAGCCGTCGGACTCAGGAACAATTGAGACATAGCCACAAGAAAGCAACCTTTTAGTCCCTTTCAGGAAAAAAGGATTGCTTTTGATATGTGTTCACATTGCAGAATAGATCATGCTGAGTCTACAGAAACACAAGATGATTCAAAGCAAAGGCAACAATAATCGTGACTGAACACTGCACTGTATGGTCCAGTTCGGACTCAGCAAAACACAACCCCCCCCAAGCAAAGGCAGCATGGCCTGGGACAGCAAAAGGTTGGAGGATCAATATTGGTGTAAAGTGGAAACATTGGGGGGGCTGGGAGTTATAGAAAATATGGTCAACATGGGGGTTTTCCTTAAAGTGGTATTAACCCCAAAGCCAAAAATGTAATATATTGCAGCTTACCAATTCATTAGATGTGGTGGCTGCATTAGTTTTCTTTTTTTTCTGCTTTTTCCCTTTGTTTTCATCTAGTGATCTAGCCAAAAACACACCTGTATTAAAAGTGCCCCCACTCTTGATGAAGGAGCACCGGGGGCACTTTTGGACAGCAGCATTGTCAGTCTGGGGAAGAGGAATGTTAGATGTACTAGCAGATTTAGATACACTAACAAATTGAAGTCAAACTCCAGCTAATACTTTATAAGCAGTTACCACAATAATTTTTTCCCATTTGGGATAAAAGTTTTGCATAAATAAAAGCTGATCATTGTAAGCACCCCTGCCAGTGTTAAATGGTTTACCTCATCTCTGTAACGGATACATTCTGCTGGAGAGCATGTCCTTTTGAAAAACAATGGACTCAATGGTCAGATCACCAGATGAAAAGTGAAAAGAAAACCTAAAAAAGAAAACAAATGCAGCTATCGTATCAAAGAATTTGTAAGCTGCAATATAATAAATGTTTGCTTTTGGGTATAATACCGCTTTAAAAAGCTGAAAAGCTGCCCATCGGCTGCATTTTGGAGAATTTCACTTTTTGATAAATTTTATGTTCTGGTCTGCAATTTCTAGTTTGTTGCCATTCTGCAGAGACTTAGAAAGCACATCTAAAAGGCTTCAAGGCAAACGTGTGTTAACGGACTTTAAACACACACTTTCTGCTTTTCTCCTAACCTCAGAAGCCTAGCTGATTCCCCAAGCACATCCGGCCTTGGCCTTCCGTCATCTGCTTCTACACGCATTGCTTGTCAGTGGCGAGGCTCCCTGCGTACATAGACTGTAATTCTTGACGCATGCAGTATATCTGGGACACTCTGTCTTGCACAGGATAAGATTGCTCGTCCGATGGCAGAAGCAGCTGATGGAGAGATTTGAATGGAAATGTGTCTGCTAGCTGAAAGTGTAAGGACCCAGGATAACATTCAATTCAGCAAAATGAAAATTATTTTTTGTACTGACAGTGCAGTTTTTCAGCTATATTGGGAGACATAGGTAGTGCTGAAAGAAAGTCACCTATACAGCACTTTATTATTGTAATGAAATTATCAGTTACTACGTTGTTGCTTTTTCTTTTATCCATACGGCTACATTTAACTCTTCTGCAGGAGAGGTGTGGTTCATTTTTTATTCTTTTTACGTGTCCTTGTTCACCCCTGTGGAAGGTGCAATTTGATAGAAAACAGGGTTTTTTTTAGCACATGTACCAAAATACAGAGTTTTGAATACACCCTAACTGCCAAGAATAACAGTTAAAGTGGTTGTAAACCTCAGACATGCAATATGAACAAAGCATATCCCTCTATAGTGTGTACTTGTCTCTATCCAGAGCACCAAGTGTAATTTCTGTCTGCTGTTTTGTTCCTCTGCTGTCAGCATGAATCACTTCTGATAAGTTTTCCTGACACCAAGAAAAAATGTGACTGGGAGGGAGCTCCAGCACACAGCTTGTGATTGACAGCCTCAGCATTGTTCCTGTGTGCTGTGTTAAGGGAGGTTTGTCCTTTCCCTCCAATCAGCTCTCAGAGTTCTCATCACTGAGCTCTGCACTGTGTAATTTCAGCTCCCTGCCCCATGTATTCTGACAGTTCAGACAAAATTTCTGGGCTTTGAATGGCTGTAGAGAAGACAAGACTGCAGATAGATAGGTACAATTTATGGAGGTGTAGGTAGATTATTTGTTTAATCTCTCTGTATCACCTGAGGTTAGTCACTTCACTGGGTATATGTAAGGGTTTACAACAACTCTAAAACAGAACATCACCTAAAAAGGGAAGTTCTGCTTTATCTTCTCTCCCCCCCCCTTTTTTTTTTTTTTTTGCGAGAGAGTGTACCTAGTCTTGACAGGTACCCGCTCCCACTTCCACTGAAATTGCCTTTGCAATCTCAGCAGAATCCCCCCCCCCTTTACCTGTCTGCAACCTCCTAGAACAAACCACATGTCCCAGGAGGCTGGAGGTCCATTCACAAAGCTCAGCGCATGTGCAGTGAGGAGCCAGTTGTGAAGCCGCAAGATGTCACAGCCAGTTTCCCACAGTAAACAGGGCACGCCAGGGGGCCAGAAGACCTGCGAAGAACCAGCCTGGGTGAGGACAATGCTGGACCCCTGGACAAGTAAGTATCTTTTTATTAAGCCAGCAGCTACACATTTGTATCTGCTGACTTAATTTTTTTTCCATCAACACACCGGAACTGTTGCACCCAAGCAAGCAGACTGAAAATGCGTCACTGTGAAACCATATGTTGGCTCTGCCTCGAAACATGTAATCTTTGAGACCAGAGACACTTCAGGCTGCTGGAGACTCTGGATTGAAGTCCGCTAGGTGACTTCTGGTTTCACAATAACGCACTTTCAGCTGGCTTGTTTCTGTGTGGCAGTACGGGTGTCTCAGCCAGACGGATTCTCTACCACTTCCACTCTCCTTTTTAATTGCGGATTACCATACACCTTTGAGTTGGGTGTTCGGGACCAGTTCTCCTTTGCCATACAGGTGAAACTCAAAAAATTAGAATATTGTGCAAAAGTTCATTTATTTCAGTAATGCAACTTAAAAAGTGAAACTAATATATGAGATAGACTCATTACATGCAAAGCAAGATAGTTCAAGCCGTGATTTGTCATAATTGTGATGATTATGGCTTACAGCTCATGAAAACCCCAAATCCACAATCTTAGAAAATGAGAATATTGTGAAAAGGTGCAATATTCTAGGCTCAAAGTGTCCCACTCTAATCAGCTAATTAAGCCATAACACCTGCAAAGGGTTCCTGAGCCTTTAAATGGTCTCTCAGTCTGGTTCAGTAGGAATCACAATCATGGGAAAGACTGCTGACCTGACAGTTGTGCAGAAAATCATCATTGACACCCTCCATAAGGAGAGAAAGCCTCAAAAGGTAATTGAAAAAGAAGTGCTGTATCAAAGCACATTAATAGAAAGTTATGTGGAAGGGAAAAGTGTGGAAGAAAAAAGGTGCACGAGCAGCAGGGATTACCGCAGCCTGGAGAGGATTGTCAGAAAAGGCCATTCAAAAGTGTTGGGGACTTTCACAAGGAGTGGACTGAGGCTGGAGTCAGTGCATCAAGAGCCTCCACACACAGACAGATCCTGGACATGGGACATTCGTATTCCTCTTGTCAAGCCGCTCCTGAACAACAAACAATGTCAGAAGCGTCTTACCTGGGCTAAAGAAAAACAGACCTGGTCTGTTGCTCAGTGGTCCAAAGTCCTCTTTTCTGATGAGAGCAACTTTTGCATCTCATTTGGAAACCAAGGACCCAGATTATGGAGGAAGAATGGAGAGGCACACACTGCAAGATGCTTGAAGTCCAGTGTGAAGTTTCCACAGTCTGTGTTGATTTGGGGAGCCATGTCATCTGCTGGTGTTGGTCCACTGTGCTTCATTAAGTCCAGGGTCAATGCAGCCGTCTACCAGGAGATTTTGGAGCACTTCATGCTTCCTTCTGTAGACAAGCTTTATGGGGATGCTGACTTCATTTTCCAGCAGGACTTGGCACCTGCCCACACTGCCAAAAGCACCAAAACCTGGTTCAATGACCGTGGGGTTACTGTGCTTGATTGGCCAGCAAACTTGCCTGACCTGAACCCCATAGAGAATCTATGGGGCATTGCCAAGAGAAAGATGAGAGACATGAGACCGAACAATGCAGAAGAGCTGAAGGCCGCTATTGAAGCATCCTGGTCTTCCATAACACCTCAGCAGTGCCACAGGCTGATAGCTTCCATGCCATGCCGCATTGAGGCAGTAATTGCTGCAAAAGGAGCTCAAACCAAGTACTGAGTACATATGCATGCCTATACTTTTCCGAGGTCCAATATTATTCTATGTACAATCCTTGTTTTATTGATTGCATGTAATATTCTAATTTTCTGAGATTGTGGATTTGGGGTTTTTATGAGCTGTAAGCCATAATCATCACAATTATGACAAATCACGGCTTGAACTATCTTGCTTTGCATGTAATGAGTCTATCTCATATATTAGTTTCACCTGTTAAGTTACATTACTGAAATAAATGAACTTTTGCACGATATTCTAATTTTTCGAGTTTCACCTGTATATTCCCATTGAGATCTGAATGTATGCACAATGTATACTGCACACCGTGGATGCTACAATAATCGCTCTACAATCCAATTTGCACAGTGTGGAACTTGTCTTTATCTTACGTTGTGAAT